TAATAATTTTCTATTTAATTATAAAATCTACTATGTATTAACGTTTAACCCTGATAAAAAAACTAACTCAATTTCAATGTTTGATTATTTAATAGATAGTAAGTTGTTAAAAATAAGTAATACAACGTAATAATACTAACAAATATTAAATCAATCAATGAATTATTTAAATGAAAATTTCAACGAAAACAAGTCTTCACATATAGATCATATTTACTTACTTACAGGCGTAAGTAAGTAAATAAGTACTTGTCAACATTAAGCTACATAGAATTAAATGTAGAAAATGTAGAACAAGAAACTATGATTACAAAAATTAATTGTGTACAATTTGCACAATCTGTATTTTGTTTTAAAGCTTAACGACTGCAGTGTTGATTCAAAAGAGAATTAGTATTTAAATAAAGATTAAATGTAATTCTGTTCTTCTTCTTCTATTATTATTAATGTTTACCATTTATTATGTATAAAATAAACTTACTCTTTTGGCGGTGGTGGTTGTAAACCAAGCGCACAAATATATTCTTGAAGTGTAATCATATTATCACCACTTAAATCGAATAAACGTAGAAATTCCTTCATAAAAAAAAGAAAAAAAATATAATGATGAAGGCGGTTAATTAAAAAATGATTAAATTTTATAACTTGAATTGAATTTTCAACTATAAAGTATCAGGCACTAAAATAGATTATCAAAAACATTGTATACAGATGCCTTGGAAAAAAAAGTAAAAACAAATGGGTTTCTTTTTAAAAAAAGACGACAATTTGTCACGTTGACAATAAGATTAGTTCATAGCATAACTTGTGAATCTTTTTTGTGTAAATATAATTTTTATAAAGAAAGTTTTGATTTATGGCAAAAAGAACTTAAGAGTAAAACAATAATATCAGAAGGGGTTTTTGTGGATATTATAGTAATTTCAATAGTTGAGATCGTGAATCAGTTGAAGCTAGATCATTAAGAAAAACCCAAAAGCAATGGACGACTGTCTCGTCCTACTTTGGAACTCCTCAACAGTGCACCTCCACTATCCAGCCCCGGGAAATTCGAACCCAGGACCTATCAGTCTCGCGCGCGAACACTTAATCTCTATACTATTGAGCTGGCATCTAACTGTGTTAATGTACAACTTCAACTAATTCACGAAATGGAGGGACACATCCACTATTATCTTCAGTAAGTTAATATCTCGCATTATGATAATCCTAATAACATATAACAATGTTATATTTTCACTGAAATAATAACAACAGAAATTGATATGAAAGCTTGATTAACTCAGAGTTTATAGTTACTATAATGAAATATTATATTTGTAACGTAAATTTAGTCAGAATTAATTAGTAATGCAAAAATATTTAATTAAACAATAATCTTTAAGGTCTTTTCACAGATCACCGAGTTGTAAATTAATAAATCTTTGCTTGAACTTTAAGTAATCTATCGCTAGCTTTCGGTAATTGTTCTAAAGAGTTGCTATATCTACTTGTTTATTTACTTCTTATAATTAAAACATCTGTTTTGAAGTAACTTTCCTAGAGTGAACATAAGTGAAAATTTACTTTATAAAACATTCAAGAAATGTAAGGTGGTTACAGATAAATGAAAGAAAACCGTGTATCTAAGTTTCTTGTTAGTTGGTGTATATCAGCAGGGCGCACCTATAATTACAAGGGAACTGATGCTTATTGAAGTACTCGAGGTCAGTGGCATTCTGAATGGCTCGTCAGCTTCCTCTAAATTGCATCCGAGTATTCGCGCAAAAGTGCACGTGATCTTAAGTCACTTAGACTAATTTTCACATTGCAAAAAGATCTACAGAAACGTATCAGAACTAAAAACTTAACATGGATGAATACTTAATGATCAAACAGTTGTAAACGTATGAAACCAAACTCATTTACGTGTATTAAAACAGTACTTACGTCCTCGCCGAATCGTTCATTTAACAAGGTGTTAATATGTTTTTCGAAGTACTACAACTTCTTTCATTTTTTCATTTTGTTAATAATTCGTATTCTATATTTCAGTGTTCTGTAGTTTGTTTTAAGCCTATTAAACTAGGTTTCAAAACCAAAACTCATTCAAACAAAAATTCCATCAGGTGTATCGCTTATAAGAAACGTGTTATAATTATGTTAACCGGTATTTAAAACAGCTACAAACCTGATATTTGATCGACTTAAAGAATAGGACTGTTACTAATGGAAGATGAATATTTCATCCACCATCCAAGACATGATAATCACTTACTAACAAAGAGTATATATTAGAGACATGTAATGATTAACCATTAGATTTCATGCCTAACTAAAAATCGCGGAAACACAACGATCCCTCAAAATAACATACACAGTAAAACAAAATTAACTCAAATGGTGCACAATTCAAAAACTCGTACAATAAATACATTTTATTAATTCATTAGGTTAAATGTGAACTACACATTCAAAAGCAACACATGAAATATATCGTTCTGTCATGATTTTAACATACTTTCCAAACTATTTTTTCTAAAATCAATAACTTGTTATCATTAGCCTCTGATAATTTTTCATTATAATTAATCAATTATTATTGTCAAATTCAAGATTTTCTTTTTATATATCACATTAATAATAATTAGTCATATTGTGATCCATAAATTATTATCTTCTAATTATTTGTCTTTAACCTTCATATCAATTTATGACCAGATCGTAATACTTAAAATTCCTTGAACATTTCTACTATGTAATCCCTCTCTTTTATCTAATAGCTAATGAACCATTGTAATATAGTAACATACAGCATCAGTAAATGATGGCACTCAAAAAATGAAATTTTTATTTCATTTTTAAAGGATTTTACATAAACTAAGCCAGATATACTCAGTTATTCAATTTATTGTTTTTATCTAGTTATATTTACTAATATCTGAAGTTTATCAAAGTATATTTTGTTTAACATGTAAATTCAAATGAACTAAATTTTACTCATTTTTGGTTCAGAATTCTCCGTTCATAATGTTTTTTTATTAGTAAAGGGTTGTTAAGTCTTTATTAAGATTCTGAATCGATCAATGTTAGACTACCATAGAAAACCCGGAAGAACTGAACGACCGTTTCATCCTAGTATGAGACTATTAAACGGTGGATTTCTACGATCCCATAGGTCGGACTCGAACCCAGGGTCTTTCGTCTCTCCCGAACACTAAACATTTAGATCACTGAGCTGGAATCTACTAATGACAATATCTGACTTCAACCAATCCACAATATTGGGCGTGTAAGTATTTTTGATATCATGTCATACATATCAACGATTGTCTACAGTTCGAAAAAAGATAAACATGATTCATGAAGGTGAATAAAAAAATGATTGAGACGATCAATTTTTGTCTACTGACACTTATCTATCTTTTGTTTCTTAGAATTTCATTCTCCAATTTTTAAAAATGCAATAGCTAATTTTTGTAAATATGATTTTTGCAGTAGTATTTTGAAAGATTATATATTGATATTTACGCATACAACAGCTGGAAATGTTAACCGTAATCAAAATTTCCAGTATACGCTGTAATCCATATGATAACGTGAAGTTAGAGCCTCCTATCAATATGCGTATTTTAGGAAGTAATTAGAAAAATAGTGTTTGGAGTCAGGCGTAGTCATATAAAAGTAACATAAAATAGTTAAGCGGATGTTCATTCTAAAATGTTTAGAACAAATGATAGTTTTAAGTAATTGTAGTAAACGTTAACGAGTTTGGTTTATGATTGTAGTTTATTGATTACTTTGATATAGTTATTAGATTAATATCAGAATAGAGGTTTGTGGAGATTGTGGTTGAATCCATGAGTCGATCTAAGCTAGGTCACCATGGAAAACCTGGAAGCACCGGATATCTGTGCGGGATCGTGGATGCGCACTGCTGAGGAGTCTCGTATTAGGAAGAAACGGCCTTCCAGTGCTTCCAGATTTTCAATGATGGCCTAGCTTAAATCGACTCATGAATTCAACTATTAGATTAGATTATTAATAATAACCAATTATTAAGATAGTTTAATTAAATTAATCGAAATCGGTGTAGCTGCACAAATGCATTTATTCTTAACGTGTACATTGATCTTTATTCTTTACCATGTTGTTTAAATATTCTTTATTTTCAATTTCTCCCAAGAATTACTGATATTACTTCCTTTCACTACCAAATAGGAACTCATTACATTCGTGTTGAATATTATAAATTTAGTCATATACCTCTTCCTCTGATCCTTTGATTCTTATGTCTCTAATCCTAAGTCCTTTTCGTCAGTACGTCTTTTCGAGTTGTAAGTTTGATTATTCACATTATAACTTCTTCTTATTCATGGAACCCGACAGATAAGATAGAAAGTTTTCATGAACACGAAACCATACCTTAGGAAAACAAATATGAGATGACTTTACAAGTAAACTGAAACGTCTGTAAAATAAAAAAATAAATTATATGGTTCACATGAGTTAAAAGTTAGAAAGTTGACACTGTTAATAAATTTCATATTCAAATGCAAATAGGCGACTATCAGACAGATCTGTTTAGTTATAGAATCATATGTGGTCATGATGGAAAATATGAATAACTGATGAGTTAGTTATTTCAAAATTATTAATAAGCTACAATTATTATTAATTTATTCTAATGAAAACTTACATCAACTTTTGATGGCGGTAGACCGGATCGCTGAACACAGAGTCGAATTTCAGACGGTGTTAAAACGCCATCACAATTTTTATCCATTTGATGGAATTTTTCAATCAATGCTCTTCTATCCATTGTGTTAAGTTTCAAGGCCATATATTCAAATTGTTTGTCTATATTAGAATCCACTTAAAGGTATCTGATGAAAGTATTCTAGTTCAAGTCAGCCAATTACTATAAAGGTGAAAGGAAACACAATTTAATTCATTGTTTTTTTCTTAAATACTCGTTCAATTAAAAAGTTAACGCTTACAATTTATGGTGTTGGTAACTCTTAAAAGTGTGATGTTTGTAATATAAACACCCAATCAAATGGTGAGAATGTAATATTTTTTGGTAAACAAAGATTTTTAAGCTTGTAAGGTGTTTTTATTTGTAATGACATGTTATAATTTATAGAAATATAATTGATTTCTCAATAGAAAAACTTGATTGATTTACAACGTATGTAAAACATACTATCAGTATGAACATTTCATAACCAATCAACAATGCTTTCGGTAAGTTTCTATATTTACACAATCTATTGTTATCTCACTGTATTAGTTCGTTTCGAAATAAAGACAAAGTAATGAATTGATAAAAAAGTTTTACTGAAAAATAATTATCTTAAAACAATATTTGTCTATCAAAATGTCTTATGTCGGAAGCTAGTTCTAGTCTGAAAGTAACTACTTTCAGATATACATGTTACATAGACTTTTCAAAAAAAGAAATTTTAGATTACTTCAACAAGTGGTTCGGTTTGTACTTAAAAGTTAATGAAAACATTTGAGTATGTGATAAAGCTGCTAACATATTGAACTACTATGACTTCTTTAGTAAATAGAAAGCATATTTCTAATTGCCATCAACTAAATTATATTGATTATAGTACATTCAGTGATTACGAATGGTTAATGTGTAGAATGACGTCTAAGTATGCTTATTTCTTTAAGAATTTTTTATAAGGGGACGATTTATTCATTGAGTGTCAATTGCTAGCACTACTCTTTTGAGTATATATATATATATATATATATATATATATATATATATTCCGATGGATTCATTTAACAAAATGATTAAAACTGTTTATTTGAAATATATAAGCATAACCTTATTACATAATTTACGTTTGAGTATAATTAAATCTTCGTTCGAATGACTAGCCTAGAATGTAAGATTTAACGGTAATAAATGAAGTAATTTCTATTGACGGATATTGTTAATTTTCTTTATCTACCAAACTTTAAATACCACATGATTGACAATAATATATTATGAGTGACAGAGGCAGTTTTACGATAAGGAGTGTAAGTAATATAAGCTAACAGTTAAGGTAATTTACATCATACGCAGAATTCATATGACATTTAACAGCTGGACGTGTTATAGTTTCTGCCAAAACTTAAGAAAAATTTGCGGAATATTCTAAAATTTATTTACAAATATCGAACCTTTGTTTTAAGTATCTATAAGTTAAGTTATATTCAGTGACAATATGGCTGAAATGTATGAGCAACAAATCTCTCTGGTAACCGGGATTGTGAAAACTGATACCTAATGAAGTTAGGCATCATGAATCCTAATTTGTATCGGTGATTCGAATGCGAAATCGTTTATCTCCACATATCTTTTGAAACGAACGTCTGCTATTTAAATTGTTTCACACTTTTCTTTTACCTTTTCCAAGGTATTATTCAGTAAGTAACCCGAGTTCTCCACAAGACCATAAAATTTACAAACTCGTTAGTGTAAACATCAATCGATTAGTTAATTGATTAATTAGTATCGATGAAAATACTGATTTATCATTATTATTCTGATATGACGGAATAAAAAATATGCAAAATTACATTACTAACTCATTGTAGTTCTTGCTCAATACTACTTTAATTTTTAGTTAGTGTGATAATTATTCAGTTTATTATTTATTCGTTCTTCATGTGCTGTGTTATTCAGTATAACACTGATTTACTTCAATATGATATTCATTTCGGTTATGATATTCTTATATTAAATTTATAATGAATTATGTTCAGTATAACATGTAACAAGAAATTTTTCTGTAATTTCATAAGTGTGACGTTTCCCTTAAATAATAATCAAATGTGTGTACAAATCGATAGATGTATATATATCAATGAGAGCATTATCGACTGGGGTAGTCGTCATATTTTTGAGGTAATTTTTATTAACCATATACGACTGTATATTAAGAGTATTAGTCTAGCTTATAACTGTAAGCTTTAAGAAATGTCTTTTAGTTATTTATAGTATATTAGTTGTTCTTATATATCTATTTTAGCTTTTATTTGGAAATCATTTCAAGAGAAGTACTTTCGATGTTAGCAGATTAATCAAGTTGAATATACCCACCTACGCACTTAAATGCACAGATTTTCACTATTATGATGACTAAAATTAAATATTGCTTGCATGCTAAGGCCACTGAGTTTTAACCACTCATTTGAGTTTTTAACACTTCAAGGTCATTCTAAGAATCACATGATTGGTGGCTTTTTAGACAGCTTACTAAACAAACAACTGCGCTTGTTTCTACGATAGAAATCTGAGACTCTATTTTCAGTAATTTGTATTGATAAAAAGCGATTAGTTGTGATCAAAAAGGGTTTTGAAATCACGGTTATTTTTTTACAATTTTTTGGTAAGTTGGTTATTAACTCATCTACATTTTCATCAGTAAGTGTAGGGAACATATCATTTTCATGACATGAATATTGTCATAAGATTTTCATTCAAATAGGTTCCTTAAACTTTCAAATGTTTATTTATAGTTTGTGATTTTAGTGAACTGATCCTAGCAGGGTTCCATTGTTTATGGTTATGAAACATTTTTTTCATTTAATTTGTTAATGAACGTACCATATGGGAAAACTGAGTAATTGGTTTTAATTTACATCCTATGCTGTAATCATACCAAGTATCAAAATAGTCACAAACCAATAGGAGTATTTATTTTCGATCATCTTATCATCATAACTTTAAACTAATAGAATCTATGTATCCTACATTCCGCTAAATCATTGGAACATATTTAAAAGTCGCTTAAACTAAACCTCATACCTTATCATTAAAATGGAGTTGAATGACTTAAACTTTTGTGGTCTAACCTAACATCATTAACAGATATGTGATCTTTTAAAGTTGATAATATTTTCACTGCTAATCTGATAACTGAGCATACATAACAGTTTTTAAGTAATCTAGAGTTATTTGAGGGATGTTGTTCTTCAGACTTCCAGAATTAATTTTGTTGTGTGTCAAATCTAGCCAATGCATCATGTTTGTTTATAACTTATTTAATTCGAAGAGACCTTAGTAAAATTAAAACTCATCATGATCGATATAGATAAACAAATGTGTTTCTGAATTGCAATTTTTTTATTCATTTGTAGGCGATAACTACCATACTATGATCTCTGTTTCAGCGCTTTACTACTTATGTTACGGTTTGTTTTTGTAATCTCATATACTGTGAAATTACGATATTTAAATAAGATAGATAGTATTACGTTTTCTGAGTTGGATGTTATCAGCGTTTTAGGCACCATCATCAGCTTTCACTTCAGATAGGAAAGAGCTTTTTCTATTATTCAACGAGGAGTAATTTATCATTTTCTGGTGGTTTAGTTTATAATTAACCATAAACAGACACTATATTTTAAGTAGAATTTATCAGTGAAATCCAGTTAAAAATTATGATCTGATCATATACAATCTGAATTACGTTTTAATCCTATTCAGTATTAACAGTCTTTCTTAGGAAACGTTTTTCCAAATTTCGTTTCTAGGATAATTTATAATTTTTCCCAATAAAATCTCTTAATACAAAATTAAACTAGTTGGATACAGTTCAAATTAGTCTGAATGTTCTTCAATTTATCATTTCAAAAATTTAACTCAATAAATCATCTAGAGTGACGTATTTAGTCAGCTAACTAAAAAAGAGGATAATAAACACCTTATTTTAATTTCATATTTAATGTCATATTAATTACATTTTATTAACGTTGAATAATGATGTTATACCCTTTGACACCAATACTTTTGTTTATTCACAGTTAAATATTATTTTGATTAACGTGTTCTTCCAATAAGGATTATATTTTTGGAAGAAAACCCTCAAAACTTTAGTTCCAACATTAAATTATAAATTAATCGTCAATAATTAATTAAAATGAACTGAGTGGAAACATCTGTTTTTGTTTGCAAACCAGTTTTACATTGAATTCTGACTAAATCACTTAAGTTGAAAAGTGAAACAAGATTGTTTGTTGAACAGAACAAAAAAGGTCTTGGTTTTGAATCCCGCGAGCGGGATCGTAGATGCTCACTGCTGAGGAGTTCCACAATAAAACGAAACAGCCGTTCAGTGCTTCCAGATTTTCCATGGTGGTTTAGCTTCGATTGACTCATGATCTCAACTATTGAAATTACTACAGTCTCCACAAGTCTTCTGACACAAAAAGTATGGTTGAATTTATGTGTTTGTACAGTAAATTTGATTATCGTTTTGTTAAATTTTCAAAAAGAAGTTACTCTAGATCGTAAGTTGTGTTAAATATTTCTTTTTTTCTAATGTCAGAAAACATCTAGCCGCTTATTATATATCCTATAGGTAATGCCTCGATGTTTGAGTTCTGAGGAATTAATGGAGCTTTTTAATGCGCTTGATAATAATGGAGATGGTGTTGTCAGTCGACAGGAACTGACTACATGTTTAGTAAAAGCCGGAATTTCCATGGCGAAGGTCGAAGTAAGTTAGAATAAGCATATATGTCCAATGTTCATATATCCTATATACGAAAGTAGTTGCATTTGACCTTGTAAAGGATACGACTATTATTCTTTGTGTAATTATAAGGTTATTTCTTTAGATGTATATTATTTAATCAAATTGAAGTTAGCTGATGCAATCGAATGATAAAATCCAATTTTTCTTCTTTTTTAAATTAAACTTGAAGAACAGTTATTTTGAACAGTTTATACAGTTTTCAGAAGTGACTAAATTTGTCACTAGGTAGCATAAATTGAATCAATTTGAATTACACCATACTAATAACAACAGTAAGAAACAACTATGAAGATCAAGTTATAAATTTATATCAATTATGAATTCTCTTCATGATTCATCTTGTTTCAAGAAAGATCTAGAAGTAATTTTTTTGTCTTTGAAATAAATTAGAATATCATTTATCTGCTTTTACACTTTAAATATCTGAAGATGTACGTTAACTATTCTTCTCTTCATATCGGCCTTCACAAGGCAAATACATGTCTCATCCTTCGATGTTAGTTCTTAAGCGTTCAGACTGGGACTAATCATAAGAAGTTCATAGGTCTATACTTATAAATTAAAATTATCGTTTATAGTGAGTGAAAATTGCTTTGATATGTTGAAAGCATTCAAATAAAGCACCAACATTTATTTTGTTAATCTTATTAATCAATTACTTTATTTGTCTGAAATAAATTCTATAAGGACTAATAAAAGTTTGAATAAGTGACTAAATAGATCACTGTTTACATCTACTACATTACTCTATTCCAACATTCTAGTTAAATATGTTTAGTACAGAAGAAGTTCTTTCATAAACCGGTTACATTGAGAAACTATAATAAACATATAATTTTATTTAAACTAACAATTGCTTATCATCAAACTTGATAATAATAACTTCCAAATCTGCTTTTACAAAGTAAACACTAAAAAATAAGACAAATGTCTGTGACTACATACACTTTAATAAATGTACATAATTTTTTCGCACAAAATGAACGATAGATCATATCTCTTATATGAAGATAAAGTCTCGTTAGATTAACTGTCATTATACATCCACTTGGTATTGTTCACTTGAATCTTCAAATTGATGTTTTTGGACTACGATTGATCAGTCACTTATTGGCATATGTGTATACTATGCATATTACCTCGATATTGCCTCAATTCACATGCATTCTAAGCAAAGGTGGATAGTGACTAGCAGTGGAATCCAGAATGTGCTTTTCGTCCTATTTGAGACTCGTCAGCTGGATGTACTTTCACCTCAGAGTTGATGTTCACTCTGAGACTCGGACCCAGCACCATTCACTTCAAACGCCATCGCGTTATCCGCTTAGTTACTGAGTCCTCATAGCCACCAGCTTTGGCATTGAGGTGACGTTAAATTAACTTATTATTCCCACAGATATTTCAAAAGTCAATTGATCAGCCCCGAAGTGAACATCAACTCTGGGATGCAGGTACATCAAGCTGACGAGTCCCAAATAGGACGAAACGCGCTCTTTGGATTCTACTGCTAGCCACTATCCATCTTTTTCATCATACATCATTAACTGACCAGATTATCTAGAATATAACAAATACGAGTGTATGTTTTGTGTGAGTAAAAATATTTCTTTTGTGATATGTTAGTGAAATTAGAAAATATTTTAATATTAAACAACTCTTGAAACTCTAAATAGCAGATACTTCAAGAACACTATAACTTCCTTATTAATAAATATACATTCGTAATTTGTCTTCTGTAATGTAATTTATTTATTTTTATTTGTTTAATTTATCTGGTCTCTTTTAAATAGCAAGTCATGAATCAACTAGATCTAAATCGAGATGGTTTTATTACTCTTGATGAATTTAAAATAGCCTTAGGATTAAATAAAGAACCTGCGGCTGAGTAAGTCATTTTTTCATTAAGATATATATAAATGTATATAAACGGCAAAAATAATGACGAGCATTTGGAACTTAGACGATATATGCAAACCGGTTCCGTAACGATAAAATAATAATGAACGCAGAAAACATTGCCATAAACAGTCCGTTCGACATATCCGTGAAGATGTTTCAAACGATTTCAATCGACGACAAGACTCAAAGAAACAGATGCGCTTATATATATATATATATATAATTTTTACAATATTTATTTTAATTTATTTTGAATTCACTTTGACTTTCATTTATATCAATGAATGAGATTATTGTAAAAAGGGTACAATATTATAAAAAAAATAATTTTGTGGTCAACTCATAAATTTCTAACAATTAAAGTGTAGTTTCTTTCTTATTCATTTATTAGTACATTTTACTTTAATTGTTATTAAGATATTTTTACGATCATACAAAATAGGTTTTGTGGATATTATAGTAATTTTAATAGTTGAAATAATATGTCAATCCCGTGACTGGTCTCATGGATACGCAGTGCTGAGAAGTCTCATACTGAGACTAAACGACCATTCACTGCTTTCATATTTTCATTGATGATCTAGCTTCAATCGAATCATGATCTAAACTATTAAAATTTAATAAAAGTTTATAAAACAATTGATATGAAATAATAATAATTACATGAAAGAAATCAAGTTGAAAATTAATTGGATATATGAAATGAATTGACATATTCAAAGACTAACTTCCGTAAGAATAATTGAACATTGCAATTACAAATGAAATTGAAAAATTAATTATTGTTGACATATATTACTATATACCTAAATAAATATTAACTGATTCAAAATAAATCATACATTTCACTGAATTATATATTGATAGTGTTCACGAAGATATAAAAAAGTAATAATTATATTTAGATTTTCTGACCGAACTTCCTATTTATGTGTTCTAGTGATAATCTATTACAACTTCTTACTGATTTTGCTTTTCGTTTTTTTTGAATATCTAAATTTCTTAAGTATATGTTTGACAAGAATGTATATAAATTTTTGGATATATCAATAGTATTATTTATTACAATAGTTTTCAAATGAACTCATCACTGAATGACTTGTGATAGTTTTATTTTAAAAAATAATCCAGTTGAAATATCAAATTGTACAAACTGGTATAATTTAAAGTGACTTATTAATTGGCAGAAAGGTGTTTTATGGAGATTGTAGCGATTTAATAGTTGAATTTATGATTCAATTGTAGCTAGACCTAGTATGTCCTAGTATAGGAGTCGTCAGCAGTGCATACTCACGATCCTGCTCTCGGGATTCAAACCCAGGATCTACGGTGTCACGCGCGAACGCTCAACCCCCAAACTAATGAGCCGACATCTAACGGTGTTAATGTCTAGCCTCAACTAATCCACCAAATTTCGCCATCGTTCTACATTGTCTTCAGTGAGTTACTACCTCACAACTTCACCGGTAATAAGATGTAGCGTTCATATCACATATTCCGATAACTCACAGCTGATGATTATTATAGAAACTGGGTCAAAAAAGTTGCTGAAATCTAATCTAGTGGAAAGCTGAACATAAGCTATATAGGTCAAACAGAGGATGAGACTAAAAATTGTAAATATGACCGAAATTTTGAGAAAACTGAAAAATAACTATAAAATACTTAAAACCAAAATAAACCGAAGGTATAATTGATCATAATTTCAAACTGTAAATAATTTTTGTTCCTATGTAATTTCAGATGGAGACGACTTTTCATGCAAATGGATCAAGATCGAAGTGGTGAAATTGATGTCAATGAATTACAATCTTTATTTGATGAAGCTGGCATGACTGTATCACGTTCCGTATTAGATGAATGGATACGTGAAAATGATGTAGATGGTAATGGAAAACTTAATTTTGAAGAATTCTATTCATTTGTATCATCTAATTTATGAATAAAATCATTTTTCACATTTTATATATTTATGTATTTCTTATTAAAACAATTAACCAATCATATTAACGTTTATGTTGTATCTTTATTGTTGTTGTGGTTGTATTAATTTTTTTTTGTCTTTTAAAATAACAACAAAAAAAATGTATCATTTTTAGTCCAATGATCAATAATTGTGATTGTACTTTATATGCACTCTTTCTTAAATTATGAGTCTTTTTTAAATGATCATTTATTTTTAATAGAAAGAAATCAAAAAAAAATTAGAAGTTATATGGTATCATCTTAAATAATTGAAATGTATCTTTATCACATGATTGAATAAGCGGAAAGTTTCAAAACAATAATCTACTGTATTACTATGTATATTAACCTATAAGAAAGTTTTATACACAATAACTAATCAATATTTAGTAACTAATGTATACTATTGGTATATATTTAAATTTATGATTTTGTAATTTAAAATATTGAACGAATTAAAATCTAGTGGGTAATTTATTAAATGCTTGGTAAAACTATCTGATATTTATCCGAAATCAATTCATTAAATTATTTTGACTCAGAACTTATATAAGTTAAGAAGAAGAGAATAGTTTAGTAAGTAGATAAATGTATTTGTATATTTGAAATGTTTCTGATGAATGAATATGAATTTTTATGAATTAATATATAGTTTCATTGTGATAATGTTTATAAATATAAGAAAGATAAGTAAAGTTAAAAGGTATTTTCATCGATTGACTTATTCTAATTAGTGGCTACTAAATTTTGCATCAATTACCCATAGATAAATTTGACTGTTGTCTATAAAATCTTTTTCAAGGAATTATTAAGTGAACATAAATGTTAGGCTGGACTGATCGTACAGTTTTTATAATAGTCACATTCATTCATTTAAATAAGAACAATATATATATATAAGCGAAAAATATTGCTTTCGATTAGATCCTTATCAAACATGAATCTAATATACAGATATATATATGACATTATTAAACTAATCAAGGCAGTTCATGAATCGATGATAACAATGTGATAAGTCGTGTAAGGTTGAACGCTATATACGATTCCTAAGCTAATCCGATAACCCGCAGTCTAGAACTACACAGCGACTTGAACTCCAGAGAGAAGACACAAGAATGAGAGAAAGCACTTTATTCCAAGGTTCATCTTTGTACAGAAAATCATGGGTATTTATAGATTTTGGCGTCTGTTAAATCAACATCATTTTACAGCCAATCCGATAACAGCACATTATGCTACCGACCAATAGTAGCACGCCACGTTGGAATTCTAGAACGTTCCATCACACTCTGATTGGCCAGGACTCTTCGGCTCCTTGTGGGCCTCTGGAGGCTCCGTTGAAGTTCTCCGGAAGCCGACCCAACACCTCCCCCGAATAAGATTTCTTTCTGGGATCCACTTGTAGTTTGATAACTGGATTGCGACGGCGTCCCATTATTCTTGTCGTCTTTCTTGTCCAAGACTTCTTTTCAGTGTTCCTGGGCGTTTGTGGCATTGGTGCGTCTAAGATTAATTCTAACGGGAAAGTCGGCCGGTTACTTCGAGTCTGCACTGTCCTTTTGTCCTTAAGGATTTGATTTGTATGACGTATACATGTCCCAAAAGCTCCTCGAACTTTGTACAGTACTCTTCCCAGTTTTTGCACCACTTCGCCCGGCTCCCATCGGTTCTTCCCGATGTAGGATTTAATGTAGACCTTGTCGCCAATACTGAAGTTCCGGATACTTGGGTCGCGACTACGCTCATCCACTGGTTTGGATGGCAACATGGCATCGAAGACTGTTCGAATACGCCTTCCAAACATGGCTTCCGCGGGAGATTTGCCGTCTTGAACATTTGGGTTTGGGGTGGATCTGTATGATGTCAGAAATTTTGTGATCACCTGCTCAGTCGTCCCTTCTCCTCCCCCTTTCAGTAATGCTCGTTTAAAAGTGTCCACAAAGCGCTCTGCTTGTCCGTTTGATTGTGGATGATAGGGTGGAGAACGAAGATGATTTATTCCGTTTGTTCTGCAGAAATGTTTAAACGATTCTGCGGCAAACTGAGAGCCGTTATCCGTCACTAAGGTCTCTGGCACTCCGAAACTGCTAAATAGGATAGACAACTTGCGGATCGTTTCTGACGTTGTACAATTTGGCATGATGTATACTTCCGGCCATTTAGTGAATGCATCTACGATAATTAGAAACATTTTCCCTTGGATTGGACCGGCAAAATCTGCGTGAAGTCTTACCCAGGGTCCCGCGGGCATAGGCCAACACTGAGGCTCGCATTTCGAAGGATTTTTAGCGGCTTGGATACATGATGAACAGTTACGGCATTTATTCTCGATATCTGTGTCCATTGACGGCCAATAAGCATAGCTACGAGCCAAAGATTTCATTTTACTGATTCCAGGATGGCCACTGTGAAACTGCTTGAGGACCTTGTGACGTAGTAACTTCGGGACAACAATGCGATCACCGAACATAATACAGGAGTCAACAACCATTAGAGAGTCCCGTCGACGAAAATATTGCAAGAGTTCTCCGTCGAGGCGATTGTTTGGCCATTTCGTCAAGAGATAGCTTTTAACTGAGCTCAGTATCTTATCACTTTCAGTTATCTTCTTGATAGTTTCAAAGGTTACTGGGAGTCCATTAACTGCGTCATCCAACACGCGATGAACTTCTTCCTCGGCTTTTATATTTGCTACAAGAGTCTCCTCCGGGGTTTTCGATTGGGAGCCTATTAATCTCGACAATGCGTCAGCTTGCCCGAAAGCGGTAGTAGACTGATACTTGATCTTGAAGTCGTAACCCAGAAGTGTGGTTGCCCATCGTTGGAGTCGGTTAGCTGTATGAACGGGAATTCCTTTCTTTGACCCAAACACTGCAAGTAGTGGCTTATGGTCTGTTATTAGGGTAAAATGTCGACCATATATCATCTTGTGGAACTTTTTCACTGCAAATATAATCGATAGGGCTTCTTTCTCGATTTGGCTATAGTTCCTTTCAGTCGTTGTCAAAGATCTGGCAGCGTGTGAGATAGCTTTTTCAGACCCATCAGGAAAAATATGAGAGATAACTGCGCCCACACCATAGTTAGAAGCATCTGAAGCGACGACTATCGGTAGAGAAGGATCATAATGTGTCAATAAGAGATCGGAAGTTAGGAGTTGCTTGATTTTCTCAAAAGATGCTTGGCAGTCTGCAGACCAATTCCATCTTGTGTTCCTTTGTAGTAGGTTGTTTAGTGGAGCACGTAGACGATGGAGATCGGGGAGAAAGGTACCGTAATGACTGACCAATCCCAAGAATGATCGTAGGGTTGTAACGTCCCTGGGTCTAGGCATTGTTTTCACTGCTTCAATGTTCTCTGGATCTGGTCGTCTTCCGTCTTTATCTATTATGAACCCAAGGTACCGTACTTGCTGCATATAGAAGTCACACTTTTCCGCTCGGAGGCGAAAACCATAATCAGCTATGCGTTCTAGTACCTGGTCCAGTTTCTTCTGCAGGTCCATTTTATCTACTGCCGTAATTATGATGTCGTCTAGGTAGGCTGCAGCTCCTGAAATACCTTGTAACATGGTATCCATAATTTGCTGAAAAATAGAGGGTGCTGTCTTTACCCCAAAAGGTAGTCGGTTATACCGGAACAGACCTTTGTGTGTGTTGATCGTTAAGAGATCTTTGCTTTCATCAGATACAGGGATTTGTAGGTATGCGTCTGATAAGTCCAATTTTGCAAAATATCTGCCACCGTTCAGCTTAGCGAAAAGATCTTCTGGTAAGGGTAACGGATACTGATGAGACTGTAGCGCTTCATTTAATCCCGTGGAGTAGTCTGCACATAAACGAACACTTCCATTCGACTTCTTGACCACCACTATTGGTGCAGCCCAATTCGAGAAGTTCACAGGCTCGATAACACCCATTTGCTGAAGTCGTTGTAATTCTTGTTCAACTATTGGAAGAGCAGCATAGGGTACAGGTCTTTTAGGTCGAAAAACGGGAGCAGCTTCAGGTTTTAGAGTTAACAGTGCTTTAGCTTTCGTACATTCTCCCAATCCCTCTCTAAACACGTTTTGATGTCTTTGTAGCATGGCGTTTTTCTGATTCCATTCTGGGGTGTTGTCTGTACTTACTCGTCTGCAGATACTGTTGATAGAATGATCTGCTAGTTTAAGTGTTTCTATAAGGTCCAACCCCATTAAGTCTAGTGCTGGCTTCTTAGTAAGATACAATATTGCATTTGTTGTTACCGTACCTTTAGAAACAATGCATGGCACTTCTCCAACAATATTCAACTTCCCTCCAGATGCACTGTGTGCCAGCTGTGTTGTTGGGAAAACTGTGGGTCTCCCAATGTTCTTCCACGTTTCTGGGCTGATTAAAGTAATATCAGAAGCTGTGTCCAGCTGAAGGCGGGTACGGTGTTTATTAATATTCAAGGTCACATACTTTCTTTGGTGGCAACTTCGTGCTCTGTTATGTGATACCAATATCTTGTTGGTTGGAGCACTATATCTGTATTTCGTTGAGTAAGATTTCACGGAACGTTTTCTATAGTCTCTTCTCCTGCAGAAGTTTTCTTTATGCCCCTTCCGATGACATTTGCTGCAACGATGTTCTTTATGTGGGCAAAACCTCTTATAGTGCCAACCTCCACATGCCCAGCATGGAGATGATGGTTTGTCGCTGTTATTTTGGAAATTATGGGTACTGGAACCTTGAAAGACTTTTCTCTTGACTGCATTGACGTTACGGAAACAGTTACCGTTTTCTACCATTGAGGTATCATGCTTTAAGTTTACTAACCTTTGGCACTCAGTAGTCACTTCTTGCAGGGTCATGTTAGGGCAGTGTTCGAGTTTGCTTAGGATTCTGGTTCGGATATCGGCATCTTCGGGTGAACGCAGGCTGCAGATAAATACTAAGCATTTAAACTGATCTTCAGACATGGACGACAATTTAAATCTCTCACATTCTCGGTTCACAGTTCCTGCATGCTTCACCCAGTCATCTCCTGGTTCTTTCGTTAACTTTAAGCACTGGTAACGGATATTAAATAGAGATGATTGTTCTCCAAAGATTTGGGATAGGGTTTTGACTGTATCATCAAAACTAAAATCTCGTGGGTTCTTCGGAAGAATGAAGTTGCTATAGCGTTCATGTTCCATAGTCCCAAGTTTTCTAAGAAGTATTCTGACTTTTGAAGCATCATCCAGTTTGCAAAGATCAATATAAAACAAATCTTCATACTTCTTAAACCACGACTCGAAAGTTACACCTGCTACACCATCAAAATTAAATTCATGGATGGCGTTAATGACTGAATCAGTATGTGATACTTGAGATTCACTAGAAGCAGGGTTTTTCTCCGACAGGCAGAATTTCTGCATCAGGGTTTCCATGATTCTAATATGGGACTCTTCAAACCTCTTTTCTTGACGCACCATATAAGCTTCTAATTGCTCCAAGGAAATATTCATTGAAGTTTTCATCCCCGTCGCCACTGATAAGTCGTGTAAGGTTGAACGCTATATACGATTCCTAAGCTAATCCGATAACCCGCAGTCTAGAACTACA